AGAAAGAAGGAAGGAAGGAAGGAAGGAAGGAAGGAAGGAAGGAAGGAAGGAAGGAAGGAAGGAAGGAAGGAAGGATAAAGAATGGCTACTCCATAGGCAGAGCAGCAGCTTGGGCCACTTATCTGATAAAACTTATGGTTGTTTCTAGATTATATGCTAAACAAAGGGTGGATTATTCATGAGTCTTCTGGGAAAGGGGTGGACAATTCCAGGAACTGAGGATTCCTCTCCCCTTTTAGAGCATATAGGATAACATTCTCACTAGCACCATGACAGCTTACAAATTGCAACGGAGTTTGTAAGTTGTCATGGTGCTGGTGAGAATGTATTTTAGCATACCAATGTGCTATAATTAGCATATAATGAGCAGTGAGGAAGACCAGAGGTCACTTTCGTGGCCATCTTGGTTTGGGTGGGTTTTGACTGGCTTCTTTACTTCAACCTGTTTTATCAGCAAGGTCTTTACGACCACTGTATCTTGTGCTGACCTCCTGTCTCATCCTGTAACTAAGAATGCCTTAACCTCCTGCGAATGCAGCCAAGTAGGCCTCAGTCTTATTTTACTCAGCTTGTATTCAAGATGGAGTTGCACTGGTTCAAATGCCTCTGACACCTGTAGTCCCAGCTCCGTGAGAGGCTAAGGTGGGAGGATAGCTTGAACCTGGGAGGTTGGGGCTGCAGTGAGCTGTGGTCACATCGCTGCATTGCAGCCTGGGTGACAAAGTGAGGCCCTGTCTTAAAAAAAAAAATTATAAACAAAACTGACTTTAACTTTGGCTTGTGAATTTCAAACACCTTTGCACAATGCAGATGTACTTTATATGTCATCGGGCTACACACCCTGGATAAGGAATTAGGCCTGGAAATTAGGCGCTTCCATGGATTTCACTAACTTCCTGCCAGTCCCTCTTTATGTGATTTGAGTTCATTGTACATTGGCAAAGTGGCAAATGGCACTAGGTAGAAAGATTGATATAGTACTTGTTCAGGCAGATGGCTTGTTGATAGCCAGTGAAAGAGCTCTGCCTGGAGCCCTCAATTGTTCCTTGAAGGGTAGTGATAGGAAGTAACTCAGCAACTTGTTTTCTTTGGACATGGCTTGTCAGGTATAATTTTTCCTCTCCTTTCACTTAGGGATAGCCTTAAGTTACCAACACATGAAGTTTGGGGGACACATTCAAACCATAGCACAACTCCTGTCTTAAGGCAGTCTGGAAGTAGAATTTCCTCTTTCTCAAGGGATCTCAGTCTTTTTTCACTTAAGGCTTTCAACTGATTAAGTAAGACCTATCCACATGAATGGTAATCAACGTTATTTCAAGTCTACTGATTTAAATGTTAATCTCATCTAAAAAGTACATTCAAAGTGACATTATTATTATTTTTTCTTTGAGATGGAGTCTTGCTCTGTGGCCCAGGCTAGAGTACAGTGGTGCGATCTTGGCTCACTGCAACCTCCACCTCCTGAATTCAAGCGATTGTCGTGCCTCAACCTCCCAAGTAGCTGGGATTACAGGCACGAGCTACCACGCCCAGCTAATTTTTTATTTTCAGTGGAGACAGGGTTTCACCATTTTAACCAGGCTGGTTTTGAACTCCTGACCTTAAGTGATCCTCCCGCCTCAGCCTCCCAAAGTGCTGGGATGACAGGCATGAGCCACAATGCCCAGCCTCAAAGTGTCATTTAAACTGGTATTTGACCAAATATATGGGTACCATGACCTAGCCAGGTTAACACATAAAATTAAGCATCCCAGTAGAGAGGCCTAGAACAGATCTTTCACCACCTCAGAAGTAACCAGCCCTGCAAACAACTTGAACCTCAGCCTTCTAGCCTCCAGAACCATGAGACAACAAATTTAAGCCACCCAATCTATGGTACTTTCTTCCAAGCTAATACGTTGGCCTGAAGACCTCAGGTAGGGAGTTAGGCCTAGAGATAAGGAACCTCCATGGGATTCACTGATTTCCTACCAGTCCCCTTTAATGTAACGGCCGCACATCTCTGGCTCCCTGAGTTCAGTGCACATTAGCAAAGTGACGCATATGCAGAGCGAAGTGCATGGCACTGTGCTGAAAGACCGGCTTCTCACCCTGCTGTGTGCTTCATTTCACAATGCACACAGAGATGATTCTCCCTCCTTCCACATAGGTGTAGCCTCCTCCCATCTAGCTCAGATGGAGCAGGGTCAAGGACAACAGTACAGAGAAGAGCTAGTTCACAGCCAATTACTAGCAGGAATGTGCACAAAGAGAGGGACGGATGAAAGCACAATATTTGCCTCCTTGCTCAGCATCACTGGGAACCGTGACGTGGGTTTCATTTCTTACACTCTTCTGGAAAGATGGTATGAAGAAATAAAGTTCAGGTCTGTAAGTGAAATGCATCAAGTCAAAATAAAAGAGACGTATCTTTAAATGTAACTTTTGTTTATTGAGATGGCGTCTCCCTCTGTTGCCCAGGCTGGAGTGCAGGGGCACAATTGCTGCTCACAGCAACCTCTGTCTTGGGGGTTCAAGTGATTCTCCTGCCTCAGCTTCCCAAGTAGCTGGGAATATAGGCATGCGCCACCATGCCCAGCCAATTTTTATTTTTATTGTTATATTTTTAGTGGAGACAGAGTTTTACCATGTTGGCCAGGCTGCTTTTGAATTCCTGATCTCAGGTGATCTGCCCACCTTGGCCCCCCAAGTGCCTGGATTACAGTGCTGGGATTACAGGCATGAACCATTGTGCCTGGCCCAAATGCAACATTTTATCTGGGAAGCAAGAATCACAATTTGGGGCATGCACACAGACTGGATGGTCTTCAGCATGTCTGAGGAACAAAGAGTAGGTTGGAGGTTTTATAAAAAGGAGGAATGTTACATATTGTTTTGAAAGAAAATTCATTGGCACTAGTAAAGTTTTTGGGACCTGACAAGCACTAACTGGTGAGTGATGGCAGTGGCTAAACCTATTTTGAGAGGCACAGCAAGTTGTTTTAGTAGCTATAAGATAAAACTGGTTTCAGGTTACAACAGTTTTAGCAACTGGCTTATGGAAAATTTAATTCCTGGAGCAGGTGCTATGTGCCTGAGTACTGCTTCCCCCTGTCCCCTTGACTCTGATTTAGTTGAGTATGACAAGAAGCACCCAATTTCGGGATTTCCTTTTGGCCTGGGGCAGGAGTGTTTTTTGTTTTTGGTTTTTTGAGACGGAGTCTTGCTCTGTTGCCCAGTCTGGAGTGCAGTGGCATGGTCACGGCTCACTGCAGCTTCGACCTCCTGGGCTCAAGCGATCCTCCCACCTCGGCCCCCTGAGTAGTTGGGACTACAGGTACCCACCACCATACCTGGCTAATTTTTTATTTTTCGTAGAGACAGGGTCTCATTATGTAACCAAGGTTGGTCTCGTACTCTCTGAGCTCAAGAAATCCTGCCCCTTTTTCTTCCCAAAGTGCTGGGATTATAGGAGTGAGCTACCGCACCTGGCTGAAAGACGGAGTTTGTATGATCAGCTTTGACAAGTGTGTCTTTAGTGCCCCTCAACTTCTCTTTTTGTGCCTTTTGCCCCTGGCCATGGTGATATTGGTGAGTCATCCTTTTTGCCGGAGAAGGTAGAACCTGAGGCAATAGAATACTCTGCTATCAAGTGGTTTGCTTGTGTGTTTCCCTTGATCATCACTTTTTTTAAAGGTAAACACCAGGGTTTTTTGTTTTGAGTTGAATTAGATAAAATGACGTGGACACACATGGAGTGATTTTAAGGAGCGGAGAGTTTAATAGGCAAGAAGGAAGGGAAAAGACAAAAGAAGCTTCTCTTACAGAGACAAAAGGGGGTGCTCCAAAGCTGAGAGAGAAGACCCCAAGTGGGGTGGAAACCAGCTAGATATATGTAGAGGCTGGAGAAGGCGGTGTCTGATTTGCATAGGGCTCAGGGGATTAGTTTGACCAGGCATGTTATTTATGTAGCCCGTGAAAAAAACTGGTCCTTCCATCCTAGTCTTTTAATATGCAAATGCAGGGCACCATGATGTTCTATACACGTGGGGATATGTGGGGGCAGCCATGTTACCAAGCACATGTGGGGACAAGGGCAAGTCAACAATGGTGGGAATAGCCATGTTGGGTGGATCCAGTTTCTAATGGTCTTCATTTGCATATCAATAACTCCTACCAAACTAAGAGATGCAGCTCTGACTGAGGCAGACATGGTCCCTACCACTGTGGGGCCTAGATAGTGGAGAGGATACAGTCGAAAAATACATTCCTGGTCAGATATTAATTCAACTGCAATAAGCACAGTGACCACAAAGAGGGTTCTGGGCTGACCTGGTGAGCATGTGGTCAAGGGAGCTTTGAGGAAGTGACACTGGCATCAGTCACCTGAAGCGGGGCTGAGGATTCACCAGGCACAGATGGAGGGAGAGTCCAAGAAAGAAGAGCATCTGCACAGGCCGAAGGGAAAGACAGGAAGGAGTTGGAAGAACTGAAGTCCAAGTAGCTGGTGGGCAGGCAGGAGTACAAATAGATTTTAGCAGGGCCAGGGCACATGGCCTTGTAGCCATACCACAGTCATGGTTGCCCAAATGGTGTCCTGAACAGCTGTGTGAATGTGTCTCAAGTACTCAGAGTAAACACTTCAAAATCTGTAGTGGAATGAATTCGTAACCAAGAAAAATGGATTTTTTTTTTTTTCATTTCAGAATGTATTTGTTCATTTGGAACAGGGACAGTTTTCACGGAAAATGGATGAAGCTGGGGGGGGGAGAGTGTTGAAAGTTAATATTATCATAATTTCAGAACACCATAGTGAATACCTTGGAAAGTGTCATCTTCTGAGACTTTGACTGTGACCATGTGAAAGGTAGAGAGAGAATTCAGGATTAACTTTGTCCATTTTCCCATGTTCAAGGGCCATTGCATTACACCTAAAACTGGCAGAGTCACAGATTATATTTAAGCCCAGATTTCAAAACTGCCCATGACTATTTTGGCAGGATGTATCTTGGCTTTTTGTTTCGTTTTGTTTTGTTTCTTAAGCAATCTAGTACAGATGTTTGTTTTTATTCAGACAGTCTGGAGGGAGCTTTAATGTTGGGGTTCTTTGTACGTGTAAATACCATGCTGGATAATTAATTGGGATTTCCTGAAGCAATTTGTTTTTAATTTTAAGAAACTGTACTGTAAACAGCTTTTTCATTCTTGTGGATAAAGAGAAGCTTTTCTCTGGACTTCTAATATTTGCCAACCCCGAGGGCAAGGCAAAGCATGTGAGCTTGTCCTCAGGACCCTCCCTGCCCTCCCCAGAGGGGACCAATGAGTTTGAGGAACAAGAGTGGCTAAACTGTTGACTCTCATCTGCCCTCCCTCCCTCCACCTCAGGGTGTATATTACTAGTAAGAATGATTTATACTTATAAGTTTCTCCATGATCTTAAGTCTCTGTTGTTTACAGCTTTCCCTCCTCTGCCCTCCTTCCCCTAGGTTATTAGGTTCCTGCAACTTAACTGGGAACTGTTCAAGATTTCAAACTCAAGATGGTGGTGATGAACAGCCTGAGGGTCATTCTTCAAGCATCTCCAGGCAAATTGCTGTGGAGAAAGTTCCAGATTTCAAGATTCATGCCAGCCAGGCCCTGCAGCCTCTATACTTGTACTTACAAAACCCGGAACCGAGCCTGTGAGTACACCACTTCCTCAAAGAGAACAAAAAGGGCTCCAGCCTGAGTAACAGAGCAAAATCTCATTTTTTAGAAAAAAAGAAAAGAGGGATCAAGTGCACAAGAGCAAAAAAACTTGTCTACAACAATCACACTTGATAAACATTTGTAGCTATGCTGTCTTTGGTTTTCCAGTGTAGGATTATATGCCTTATGAACTGTGAGAATAACTGTTTATTGATTCATGAAAGTAACTGTAGAATGTTTTCTTGACTAATTCTAGCGTGTTAAAATGATGTCATGCAGAAACTGGATAAGAGACGGATCCCAGTTTTTAATATTTTGGAACCCGTTATTTATTATTTCTTGGTAACAATTTTCTTTTTTTTCCTTTTGAACAAAAGTTAATCCACAGACCACAGATTATTTCTGGAAATCTTAAGTTTCTGGAAATTGCATGTAAATGTTTGTAAACAGTTTACTAGCTTCAACCTTCTGGAATATTCTGTCCTGGGTTAGGAATTACAGAGTTAACTCTAGCTGGCCAGTTTGCAAGTGTGTGCTCTGCTATATGGATGGAAGACTGAGTGAGGCAGGAAATGGTCTTCTGCCTACTAAAGGCTAGTAGCACCCTCATGAAGTTATAACAACCAAAAATGTCTGAAGACATTGCCCAACAAACTCTGCATGACTGCCCTAGAGAGGGCAGTTGAGAGGATGGGAAAGGATAATGTATGTATTTGTGGACAGATAACTTTGAGTTACTGGAGAGATGAAGTGGCTAAGCATTATCATTAAGGAGGAATTTTACATGTTTTCCATTATTTACAAAACATTGGCACAGAGTTTTCAAATGTTGGACTGCACTGAGGTGTAGGTTTCTCCACTTTTGTGTTTATTTGCTTTGACACTGTCTGCACATAATAAAGACTGGGTAAGAATGGAACGCTTGTAAATTAGTAATGCTAACCTAGCTACATCCAAGGGCTTGAAACTGCTCCACAAATATATTTTCAGTGTAAGTTTATTTTGTTTCCTTCAACATTGACTGTGGTCTTTTTCAAATAAACGGGCCAGGGTATAATAAATTTCTGGTTGCTGGGTGTGGTTTCCTACGAGGATGCCACATCCTACCGAGACTGGCTTGTTCCGAACACTGGCACTTTGTGGTTTAGGGTGTATATTGGAAAGTATTAGTTTTGCTTTTTTTTTTTTTGACAGAAAGTTGAAATTAAACGTCTAAATCCGGTATACTTATGTAGTTAGGAAAGTTCGCTGCTTTTAGTGCTGACAAAAAACAAAAAAACAGTAGTGGCTTCAGGACGGGCAGCTTTACTTAGTGAACTTCCCACAACAGATGACATGTTATTGTTTCTAAGTTACTAGGAAAAATGGGACAGTCACCATTTGATTTCATTTGTGGCATATTACACTGTTTCCAACCTGGTTGCTCCAGGGAGAATATTGTGGTCTTTGCTGCCCTGGGCCTTTGAGCAGATTCTATTTCTGTCTGGACCCTCATGTGCTCAATTGTAAAGAGGGTTCTCATTGTTTCTGACAGCTCAGTAGCTCAACAGAAGTCCAATGTACACTTGTGACTAAGAATGGCCCAAGATTCTTAAGGGTTAGAGAAGATAACATGTGTTGATGAATAAAGCCAAACTCTGTAAAATATTTGAAGAAGTTCATTCTGAGCCACATATGAGTGACTGTGGCCCATGATACAGCCAAGAGGTCCTGAGAACACATGCCCAAGGGGTTGGGTTACAGCATGGTTTAGGGAGACAGAAGTTACAGGCAAGACATCCAACGTATACATTGTGAGGACAAAACTGATTTTTTTTATCTTGCCCAAATTTCTATCTAAGGGGTCTGAGGAGTCATGCCCTACAAATCATAAATTCTCACCAAAGGGATTTTATTTAACCCTATATATCATGATTTACTTTCCAACCTGACTTTGGCATAACATTACGAAACAAAGAAGAAAATCAAAATATTTTACTCCAAAACATGTTTCTTATCTATATTTTGAAATGGCCCTGCAAAGCTGTTCTGTGTGGGGGAAAATTTGTATCTATAAAGAATCTCTATTAACATAGCTACATCTTTTTTTTCCAGACCCTCCCAATCTTAAAGAGATTAACTAAAATCTGAATAGGAAATATTTGTCATCTATTGTCCCTAAGGGCAGCCACTATAAGACTTCAAAAGAACTTTGGTCCCCATAATCTTTATCTTAGCCTGAACATTCCCTTTCTACAAATCCCAGGTCTTTAGACATACTCAACCAATTTTCAACCAGAAAATGTTTAAATTCACCTATAGCCTGGAAGCTCCCCCTCCGCCCTCACCCTGGCTTTGAGTTGTCCCATCTTTCTGGACCAAACCAATGTATTTCTTAAATGTATTTGATTGATGTCTTATGCCTCTCTAAAATGTATAAAGCCAAGCTACGCCCAGACCACCTTGGGCACATGTTCTCAGCACCTCCTGTGGGCTGTGTCACAGGCCATGGTCACCCATATTTGGCTCAGAATAAATCTCTTGAAATATTTTACAGAGTTTGGCTCTTTTCGTCGATAATTGGTTTGGCGGGGAAAGGTAGGACGTCTCTCTCTAAGCAGGTGCTTACAGGTCATAAGTAAGTGGATTCAAAGATTTTCTGATTAGCAGTTGGTTGAAAAAGTTAAGCTTTGCCCAAAGAGTTGAAGTCAACTGGAGTTAAGATAAGAGGGGGTTGTAGAAGCCAAGGTTCTTGTTATGTAAATGAAGCCTCACAGTAGCAGGCTTCAGAGAGATTAGATGGTAAACATCTCTTATAGGACCTTAAAAGGTGTCAGATCTCTCCTGGATCAGGAAAAGACCTGGAAAGGGACAAGGCTTCTCTACAGAATACACATTTCTCCCACAAGGGATGGCTTTGCAGGGCCATTTCAAAGTATGTCAAATAAATATATTTTGGAGTAAGGCCAGGTACAGTGGCTCATGCCTGTAATCCCAGTACTTTGGGAAGCTGAGGCGGGTGGATCACCTCGCCTGAGGCGGGAAGCTGAGGTCAGGAGTTTGAGACCAGCTTGGCCAACATGGCAAAACCTCATCTCTACTAAAAATACAAAAATTAGCCAGGCGTGGTGGTATGCGACTGTAATCCCAGCTACTCAGGAGGCTGAGGCAGAAGAATCACTTGAACCCAGGAGGTGGAGTTTCCAGGTGAGCTGAGAACGTGCCATTGCACTCCAGCCTAGGTGACAAGAGCAAAACTCTGTTCCCCCTCGCCAAAAGAAATATATTTTGGAGTAAAATAGTTTGATTTCTTTCAGGGCCCGCTATCTGTCATGTGATGCTATACCAGGGTCAGGTTGGAGGTAGATATTTTATTGCTACAAAGAGTCTGTTATGTCAGTCTTATGATCTCTATTTGAGTATTAATGCTGGTCAGTTGTGCCTAAACTCCAAAGGGAGGGGGTATAATGAGGCATGCCCATCCTCTTTTCCCCTCATGGGCTGAACTAGTTCTTCAGGTTTCTTTGGGATCCCCCTGGCTAGGGTAGGGAGGAACCATTCAGTCAGTTGGGGAGCTTGGAATTTCATTTCTGGTTTGCATGTGGGAAGTCCTTAGCTAGTGCTGTCACACAGTGAGGACTCAGTGTTGGCCGCTACTTCTAGTACTACAACTGTTACCATTATCATACGCTCAGTGCCTGCCTCAGATGTTTAAGCCTGACCATTTTAGAGCAGACAAAGCAGAATAAGGAGCGAATGAAAATAGGAGGTTGTGGCAAATTCAGAAAGCTGCATTTCAGGTCAGCCCTGTGCCCTGTGCTCATATCTTTGCTCCCAAGGCTCTCCACAGATAATCTTTGGCTGTCAACTCAGATTGCTGTTTGCTGTTATCTCAGGTAGCAGACAGTAACTGTCGATAGCCCTAACCTTGGACACTTGTAATATAATAAGATAAAGATAAAAGCCTATACCTATTATCCAGTGTGGAAATGAAATCAGTTTCCCTTACTTATCATCTGGTGAAATTTAGCCTAATGGTCACATAAAAAGATTTAGGCATGAGATCTTAGACCATAGGAAAGTGCATTTAATAATTCTTAATTTAATAAAATATAAAGAATATCAGGTAGAATGGAAATGATAATGATTCTTTTTTTTTCTTTTTTTTTTTTTGAGACAGAGTTTTGCGCTTGTTGCCCAAGCTGGAGTACAATGGCACCATCTTGCCTCACTGCAACCTCCACCTCCCGGGTTCAAGCAATTCTCCTGCATCAGCCTCCCAAGTAGCTGAGATTACAGGTGTTATAGGCATGCACTAGCACGCCCAGCTAATTTTTTGTATTCTTAGTAGAAATGGGGTTTCACCATGTCAGCCTGGCTGGTCTTGAACTCCTGACCTCAGGTGATCCACTCGCCTCAGCCTCCCAAAGTGTTGGGATTACAGGTGTGAACTACTGTGCCTGGCCTATTCCAATGATTCTTAATGTTCATGATCTCCCTACTTTTAGAAGGAAGAGAAACATGTTAGGATAATAGGAACTAAAGAAGGCAGCACTGTATAAAATGTAGCCACTAGGTCGGGCGTGGTGGCTCACGCCTGTAATCCCAGCATTTTGTGAGGCCGAGGTGGACAGATCATGAGGTCAAGAGATTGAGACCGTCCTGGCCAACATAGTGAAACCCTGTCTCTACTAAAAATACAAAAATTAGCTGGATGTGGTGGCGCGCGCCTGTAGTCCCAGCTACTCTGGAGGCTGAGGCAGGCGAATCACTTGAACCTGGGAGGCGGAGGTTGCAGTGAGATCATGCCGCTGCATTCCAGCTCGGTGACAAAGCGAGACTCTCTCTCTAAAAAATTTAAAAATGTAGCCACTAACCCCATGTGGGTATTTACATGTAAATTCATTAAAATTAAATTCATTAAAACTTTATAGCTACATGTGCCTAGATCTTAGTATACTGGACATTTCTATCGTCAAAGAAAGTTCTATTTGACAGCAGTAATGTATATCAT